TTTAATAGAAAGAAAATATTGTACTCATAAATGTATATTGATTTGTGTGTAATTATGCCTTTCAACAAATTAGTAATTCTTATAAACTTAGAATGAATCCATTAAAAATGCATAGCAGCAGGCACCATTTTTAATACAGTAGCTGAGATGGTTATCACTACATTGCATTTATGTTTATGTATTAATCTAACAATACACTTTACAGCAAATGATAGTACTAATGATTCTATTACTGTGGAAAGATGTTATTGTGCACTTGCTTATATTGATTTTGTTGGGCGTGCATCATCTGTCAAGTTCAAAAGTTTAATTGCAATGAAGAGAAGAGTCCTGTAGAAGAAGTAATGTCAGGTTATCATTTAAGGCAAAGAGAAAAAGTAGCTTCATATTGCAAAACACATTTCCGTTATGCTGAATTCATCCTGAGCCCGTAAGAGGCATGTCTGTGTCTGACCTTATGCCTCATGCATTGCAGGACACACGGCCCTGTTCCCATAGCCCTCATAGAAAGGAAGACCAAGAAACTATCTACTCCCCGAGCTGCTGACATCAGCTTTCCTCCTGGACGACCCACCGCAGATACCATTGAATCAGTGTGTCACAACCAGAGGCTTCGCCCCGCCTACAGCATCAAGTGCCTCCCACGTTCAGGCTATGAAATGGTGGCTCTTCAGGCGAAGACCGTTAATCTTATAGAGAAGGGATTCAAAAGTTGCTGCAAAAATAAGAAGACTAAAGTCAACTGTGCTGACCAGAAGGTAAAAGAATAGCAGCTAAAAATACACATTTTCGCTTAACTGAGTAGTTTCCATGTCGTGACACTTCATTCTTGCTCTTCATTTCAGTGGCGTGAGGAACTGAACAAGTTCTGCTTGCGTGAGAACAGAGGACGGGTGAATTACCCCTGCTGTCTGAACCAAAGTGATAAATACAGCTGTTTCCAGCAGATGTCTCCAGACCCGTATTATAATGTGACTTCTGCTCATGAGGAAGTGTCGCTGAACAAGATATGTGACACTCACAAAACCATCAAGAAGAAGTAAGACACTATTTATTGCATTTTTTCTTTGATCTGATCTTCCTATAATTTATTTTTGTTTCTTTTGATGTTTTTTCCATTTTTTCTATTCATTTTGCTCTGTGAAATGTCAACACATTTGTTTAAGTATATAATCTGTGGGCAGTCTAACATGAGATGCATTTGCATCAATGTGACTGTGTTTTAGATTCCCTGTTGGGTTTCCTCTTAAGGACTTTGTGACACAATGCTGCCCCCTGCAGGAAGAAGAGAAGACCGCTTGCTCTGCGCGACTGGTAAGTCCCATTAAAAGCCATTAAAAGGGAAGTTTGTCTGCAAAAATAAGACAAATTGCAAAAAAAAAGTTTGGCCTAGCAACATTTAAAATTTGAACAGAGAGTTCTGATTTCCCGCTGCTGTTCTGCCTTTGATCTCTCCATGACATCAGCTTGAAGAAATGTCACAGAAGCTGTGCGCATCAAAGAGGGCTGTTCCCAGTACTGTCCGCCGCTGCTGCAAATCGTCCTCACAAGAGACTCCACAGTGCATCTCCAAAATTATCATGAGTGCCATCACCAAAGCAACCAACTTCTCAAGCCAGAAGAAGAGGAAAAGGTGCCCTATCTCCTAAGCTTGTATGGCCTTTCGCTGCTGACCCCACTGTCGCTGGGCTGTTCGGGATATTGGTGAGATAGCAGCAGACGTGGCATTCGGTCACTGAACAGAAACGATTCGTGCAACACTTAAATGTTTGTAAGACAAAATGAAATGTAAAATGTTGACCGAGTTTTCTAGCTTCAACTACTGCCGGCGTTCTGAGACCAAATGAGCATTTCTACCATTTATACTACACATACTTAGCATACTGTTACATGCATAGTTGCTAAAACAGACTATTGTCTAGGACACTGTACCACTATTTTTATAGGCTGCTCTTTGCATACTTGATTATTAATTTCTTAATTCTTTTGGAAATTCAAGATCTTTTTTTCCCTCTTTTATATGGTTTCTAGTTAAGATCTTCTCTGAAAAAGTGATAATAAACACATTTTTAAAATCTTCCTTTCTGTCTGGTTTACTGTGTGACACTTTGGATACAAGTCCATGCTGCTTTAACCACAGACCACAAAATTCCCTTGTTACAGCAGCACAAGGTAGAAGTTGAAAGGATAAATTAGGGATGTATTGGAAAACAATAAAAAATAGAAAAAAGAAAAAAGGTTTACAACAACAACAAAAAACCGCCTGGCCAGAGGATGAAGCCTGCCCTGCCTTCTCCTTCTAAATGAAGGTAAAAAAAAAACAAAAAAAAAACCTTCTGTCCTGTGAATAGGGGTCTTGTTCCCTAGAATAGACCCCTCCCCTCGGGAACAATTATTTTTCACAGGACGGAAGTGGGTGCTCTGGTTTCATTTGCAGTTAATCTTCTGGACAGGTTGCCAGTCCATCACAGGGTTCATGCAGAAAGGCCCCAGCTGACCAAGAGGCTCATAAACTGCTTGAAAAAAGTTTTATCTCAACAGCTCAAAAAGGTGCTCAGTAGTTTGTGTGGCTGGGCACTGTCATGCACCAAGAGGATCCCAGGACTCCCTGTACCAACTGTAGGGTCTGACAGTTGGTCCAAGGATTTCATCCTGATATATTATGGCAGAAAAGGTGCTGTCCCCCAGCCTGAGGAGTTAAATGCCAACTGGACTCCACAGTACCTGGCAGTGAGTTCAGGGACCAGTAAAGGACATCACCTCATGTTATCAGCAATTACAGCCCAAAAAAAACCACCTAGAAAAAACAAGTCCAAAAAGATGATGAGGGACAAATGTTTTTACAGGCCTCCACCCGTGATTATTCAGCCCCCTGAGTCAATACTTTGTAGAACCACCTTTTGCTGCAATTACAGCTGCCAGTCTTTTAGGGTTTGTCTCTACCAGCTTTGCACATAGAGACTGAAATTCTTGCCCATTCTTCTTTGCAAAACAGCTCCAGCTCAGTCAGATTAGATGGACAGCGTTTGTGAACAGCAGTTTTCAGATCTTGCCACAGATTCTCGATTGGATTAAGATCTGGACTTTGACTGGGCCATTCTAACTCATGGATATGTTTTGTTTTAAACCATTCCATTGTTGCCCAGACTTTATGTTTAGGATCGTTGTCCTACTGGAAGGTGAACCTCCGCCCCAGTCTCAATCTTTGGCAGACTCCAAGAGGTTTTCTTCCAAGATTGCCCTGTATTTGGCTCCATCCATCTTCCCATCAACATCAGCTTCCTTGTCCCTGCTGAAGAGAAGCACCCCCAGAGCATGATGCTGCCACCACCATATTTGACAGTGGGGATGGTGTGTTCAGAGTGATGTGCAGTGTTAGTTTTCCAAGCTAAAACTCAGTGGAGATTTCAGCTGTGTGCCGGTGATTGGACATCGGTCGCTGATAAAGTGGGTTCACCTACAAAGTGCTCTGTAGGGAAACAAGCTCCAGCAGCTCTGCACTCAGGAAACAAACTATATTTACTTATCTTGTGCAGAATAATGCGCAGGCATTGCGTTATATCGAGCACCGGCTGTCCAGTTAAACTGTGACTATCACCAGGTAACGTGGGCGTGTTTCTTGAATTAGCAGCAGGTGTTAAACAGCTGACAGGTGAGCAGGATGTATGCAGGTAACTCGAGGGCCGTTGAGCTGATCGCGTCCTGAGGAAAATGTCAGCTCGTTATTTAACACAGAGACACAGCCACAATCATCAAAGCTTTAGATGATTAAAAAGTTTTTTTAACCTAAGAACAAGAAATGGCAGATTCCCAAAAACTGCTGTAAAAAAACTATGCAATAATGTTTTTTTCCACTTTAAATCACTCAGTCTTTTAAAAATACTTCAGCCTGAACTGTATATATTAAATATTAATTACAGTTTGGGGATTTTAACCCTTTAAAGGCCAGTATGTTTACATAACTCCATTGATTTTTATTGAATCCCCCCAGCCAAACAAAAACAATTTCCATAAAAAACATTTCAAGATGCATTTGATCATTGTTTTTATTAGGCCCAGAGATGGGCCAATGATATAGCAGCGACATTCATTTTCATGCATTTCTATTTTTTCTGCAGTGTCAGATTTTTGTTTTACAAAAAACGATACTCCAGGTCCTAACAACAAAAAATGCCACCTTCCCAAAAACTATTATATTGTATTTTTTTCCCCCCACTGACACAGTCTTTTAAAACTTCAGCCTGAATTATAAGTTTAAAATATTCATTACAGATTTTGGATTTTAACCCTTTATAGAAGAATTTTAAATTTAAAAGAAATTCTCTGGCAAATATGGGATATATTCATTTAGCACAGTCAAAATAGCATGAAATGATCTTCTAATGTTGTCCCGATTCATTGTTTCATTCATTTTTCTTCTTATCAACAGAAAATTTGCAGACATTGAAGCATCAAAACACCAGCTTTGGCATCCACTCTTTATTTTAAGGATGAGGACAAAGGCATGTCCTCTCTGTCATCACACAAGCCAGATTCACCTGACCAGTCTGGTAATCCATCTAAAAGTGGTGGTCCACAGGATGCCGATAAAAGCAGCCTTCGAACAGGTACAGATGGCACCTCAAAGTCTATCAGTGTCACCACCTGACTTACATGAAAGTCAAGTAAATACAAAAAGGAAGCAGACTGAATCAGGGCATCTTTGGAAACATCACTCCAAATCGCAGTCCTCCACCTGCAGAGCTACGGCGAACAAACAGAGCAAGAGGAGGCAGGAAAAGGGAAGCAGAGGTCATAAACCGGTGGAAATGAAACCTATTAGCTCCCCAAGAAGTTTTGACTTGTACCACGGGGCTGAATTGTTTTATTTTTACAACAAGAGTCAGCCGACAACTTCTTTTTTGAGTAGTGTATATATTCAATTGCGGGCGCCTTTCTGTCGCACTACAGCAAACTGAAACCGTCCCACGTCCCTCCACTGGAGGCGCTGTGGTGCTGCAGCAGCAGCAACACGAGCATCAAAATTCAAGTGTCGGCTCTGTCTATGATGTTAACAGTCAGATCGTAATGGCGACTGCTGGAACAGCAGACATGGGATCAGCAGCCCCGACAGGTATCTAGCTATCAAATCTCATTCCTTTCTCGTCTCAAAACTAGCGTAAAAAGCGATATCTACAGTGTTTTAAAGCATTGAAAGTGATGCAACGCTGGAGCTCTGGCTGTAATTGAGCCTTCGTTAGCCGTTAGCTAATTAGCATCGAGATTTTCCACCAAAGAAATGAACCAATCTGTGGTTCGCTTATTTAGCTGGCTCTTTAATAAATCCTGGTCTTCTCGTGTTAAAACACAAGAAGATTTTGTGTGCAGGCCACTCTTAAATATGAGGAACAATCTATTGATTTTATAGCGTGCTATAAAGTAATTCCCGACACCACGTTGACCAAACTGTTTTGTTATCAAACCGGCTGTCTTGTTGACGCTTTATGGTGTTTACACGCAAACGAAGCAGGTGAAGGCGAGTTGAGATTTTATAAATAAAGATCGCCGTTGCTTGGTAAATGAATGGGACGTGTGTAATACTGCTGGTGTTAACCCCCCCCCCATCAAGCATCTATGGGAAGTTAACGGTAACTGCTCTCACTCACGTCTTCCTCGCCTGTTACATCCCGTTTCCTCTTCCTCTGAACGTTTTGTGATGTACATGGATAAAAAAAAATCCGCTTTCACTTACCTAAGGGCTTCATTAAACACCTCCCAACTGTTACTGTACAAATATTTTCAGTTTAGGTGGTGTATTGTCTTTTTCTGCGTTCCTTTGTCACGCTTATCTAAGTCAATAAAGCAGCCTTAATTTATTTAAGCACCTTTGTTTAGGATCACCGATATCAGACCTATGCACTGCACATGAACTGGTTCCACTTGCTTCACAGATATAGATTGATCATGTGCTTTCAGAGACTTCTTTTCCCCCAAGATAAAGCACGCAATGGGGAAGATGCATCTCTCTAATCCAGTTAGTTGTGCATCACTCATTAGCTTCCCTGTATATGTTTGAGTTGCTCTGCTCCTGGTAACCACCCAGTCTGAATCAGTGAATAAAAATAGTTGCTTTTTAAAGCACTCCTGTGGCTCCCAGATGGCTGAAATCCAGGGACAGCACAAGCACAAGATGTAGCATTCACGCTCACAGACACTTCAGTGACAGTAACTCACTGTGGTTTCCCTAATAGCTTTTATCAGCGTCGTTTCCAAATCAGGTCAAGAAACAGTATATTTGTGGATTCTTCAGAAATGACCTTAAAGAGTGTGTCCATGGGTCATGGTATTGCCGTGCATGCTGTGGGCTGTGCGTAAACAAGGCTGGCAGGGACTTGTTTGGTACACAGAGAGGAACAGATGGTTTGCCTATTGTAGTGAGGCCTGCCGCTGATGAGCTAAAGTCATTGTTAGGGAACTGACTTAGTCTAATTACTATCCATAGTCTGCTGCACAATATATGCCATTAACTGGTTGTATATTGACCTTAATAAATACAGATGGTAGTAATAATAACAATCATAGCTGAAACCGGGCCATCTGGGGTTACTACACATGCAAGTACGCATGATCCAAATTTAGTAACAGTCTGTGTTATCTACCTTAAACAAAATTGTCCATTTCTAAGTTATTTTTGGTAAACAATATTCTATTTTACATGTTGAGCACATTTAATCATGTTTGTTTTGTAAACGGTCCTGATGGTTTTCCTTTTACAATAAAAGAAAAGTAGCAGTTGCTTAACTGACTTAATTATTTAGGCCATGCTTCCTTTACTTCTGTGCACACCTACTTTAAATGAGTTCAGTGTGGTGCATGTACTTGGTTAAGCCAGTTAGCCTGACCTTGTCCTGCTCCGCAGATATCAGGACTCAGTTCTGGAGGAGAGCGTTGCAGCGAGGTATTCGCATGGGTGTGCTGTGTTTGTGACTGTGAGCAGCAACTGCATGAGTAGTGATGATATAGTGTGTTGTTTTACATAATGAGAGGGAATGTGGGCAGAGCGATGCTCATTGTTTCCCAGCAGATTGCAGTGTGTCCCTGCTAACTCAGGAGAGATGCATGGCATTCAGTGAGTCTGTGTAATTATACATAGTCCTGCATTTCTTAGGTTGAAAATGTTCATTTTCTGTGCATTGCCAGGTTTAGATTTGATGGGGGCAGAAAGACAATTTTTCAGACTCACTTGTTACTACAGGTGTAAAAACTTTGTAGCCTTCAGTCTTTTTGTGTGTATATTGACCTATGGTACTGCAGTGGAGGAGATGTTGCCATTGGTTACAGGCTAGAGGTGATTGCAGAGTGGGCGATGTAGTAAGTGTATACACCAAGTTTATATAAGGACAGGACACAGGAACTCATTCGCTGTATTTATTTTGTTGCACTTGAGTGCCTTTCTTACCAAACATCTGTATGCTGGGATTTAATGACTTATCTTTGTTTAGCAATTAAGCAAAGGTCTTGGCTTGGTGTTTGCATTATTATTTTACAGGCACACAAACAGAAGCTGTTGTGTTTGAGGTTTCATGCAGGCATGAAAACCCTCCAGTGTTCCTTCATATCTCCATGCGGCATTAGCTTGTCACATGGTGAAATAAACATTGAATTACACAGAATTGAACAGAATATCAGTCTCATAGATCTCTAGTCGGATAACAGAGTTTACTAAATGGCCTAATTTAAAGGGGACCTGTTACCTCATTTCCTGCTTCATATTTCATTCTTGGGCTACAAGAGTAGCTTTGCGTGATTCACTGTTCAAAAAAAATCCCTATTTATCTTATACCAGGCCTTTGTGCTGCCCCTCAGTCCATCACCGTTCAAAACAAAGCATTTAAAGAGTTGTTAGGTTGCCTTTAGGAAACATCTGAGCATTCGTGAGCATGCTGGAGTGGATTTCAGTTATAAAATCAAAGTTAGTCTGAGGCTTAAAGTAGGCTGGGACAGCAACAGCTAGAAATTGCACCATTTTTTGAAAGGAGGTGGTGATGTTGACACACATCCTGGGGGAACAGATGAATGTGGAGCAGCTAGCTCATGGGAGAAGTAGTTCCAGTTCACATACTGGGTGCAGCCGGTAGTAACTGTGGCCACATTTAGGTTTGGGTTCATCATCGGTCTTATAGTCATCTGTCAGTGCTGGAAATAGCCTAATTAACCAGCACAGGGATTCATAAACAGTCCCTAACAAATTCGTCATTGGTCAAAGCCTTTCCAACTCAAACTCTTCAAATTTATTTCAAGCCTTGACTTTGAGTACTGACTGCATGGGTTGGGTTTCAGAGTCTCAACAAAGGAACTATACAGAGTGCTTACTCTGTATATGTAGGATTTTCCTTGCAGGTTTTCGAGCACTTATCTTCCTCTCAATTTAACTTTTTCTGTTTTCTTTTTAGGGACCAGCAGCATTCGAAAAATGGCCCCCGCCGAGGTAACTATGGCAGATACTGTAAATGTAACTACTCTCAGCTCTAAGGGGAAAAGGAGAGCAGAGCAGGCTTATAGGGCTGAACTTTTTTTCATCCAGACATTGGCAGTTTGAGGCATCGGTCACTAAAAGTTTATTATGGAAGTGAGAGAGTGGCTCTTGTAACGCAGGAGAGCCACATTGTTGTTCCTCAAAGCTCTACATAGATTAATATTTAAAAGTTTTCTTACTTTGAAATATGAATAGTTACTCATAATAATACTGTAGGTTCAGAAACAATTATGACATTTTTGTAGCTCCAATATCAATAAAAGGAGGAAGTGCAGAGGTAGTTTTTTGGTCAGGAATAGTAACATCAGGCTGATTGCTGTTTGATTAGTTTCCTGTCTTACAATTTGACCTTCCTCTGCAAGTTCAGTTACTTGTGAGCCCAGTTGATCGCTTGGTTAAGGCTGTCATCCATCTGGCCTAAAGCTTGCATACTACAACAGCTAGCTCATTGTTTTCTGCGTTTACCAGCACAAACACACATCAAACTGTGTTTGATTTTCCTTTGACAGCTTTCTGCCTCTCTCCTCAGATGCCCGGCTCTTCAGGCATGAGTATGAAGAAGACCATTGGACACCGGGGCGTTGAGACTACCACAGGAGAAACTACTTACAAAAAAGTAAGGGCAGGGGTCGGGGTCAGTGACAACAGTGATTTGTTGACACCCGCAGCACTGAGCCGGAGTGATCCAAGGTGTTTACAGTTCAGTGGGTTGGCCTGCATGTTTTGGTGTCTGTATTCTAAAATTAGTTTGGAAGTTCCTCTTGCTGGAAACCCAAGAATAGTGAGTGAAACAGCAGAAGTCACAGGGGTAAAATGCTGTTTGTTCCAGTGCTTACTCTCTTTTCCTCGCTGACCTCCCTAGACTACGTCATCTGCCCTAAAGGGAGCAATCCAATTGGGCATCGCTCACACAGTTGGCAGCTTAAGTCAAAAGGCGGAGAGGGATGTTCTCATGCAGGACTTTGTAGTTGTTGAAAGCATCTTCTTCCCGAGGTTTGTGATACGAGTTGTTTGAATGCATGAGGTGAACTGTTATTTTTCCATTTTGCATAGTTTAATAGTTTATCTGTTTCTTGCTCTTTCCAGCGAAGGCAGTAACCTGACCCCTGCTCATCACTACAGTGACTTTCGCTTTAAGACCTATGCTCCTATCGCCTTTCGTTACTTCAGGGAACTGTTTGGCATTCGGCCAGATGACTACCTGGTCAGTATTAACCCCAAGGCTTATTCTGCCATGTTCACCACAGCTGTGTGTGAATCTCTACATGCTGCATATATATTTAGTGGTTTAAGCAAACATGATCCCCTTTTGGAGAAATAATGAACAATAGCTGAAGGTTTTCTCCTTTTTTCTTTTCTTTTTTTTTTTCCTCAAAAATGATGATGCTTTTGTCTGCATCATCACCACATTTGCTGACACAGTGGGCATGGAGCTGCGCCATCTCAGACAGAATGATAAGCTGTGGTCCAAGTGCTTTTTGGCTCCGTTTTATTTTCCTCCTGACTCTTTCTCTGCTGTCTGTTTTTACAGTCAGCACTAGAAATACTGATAATCATGTCTCTGTAGTTTAAATCGATCAATTGTGCAATCAGGAGCCAGTGACCCATATATCTTACTTCAGAAACACAAAATCTGTTTTGTTTTTTTGGATTTTATATTAATGCGGGTTCATCTGTCTCTTTCTGGAAGTATTCTCTGTGTAATGAGCCGCTGATCGAGCTGTCGAACCCCGGAGCCAGCGGTTCCCTCTTCTACGTCTCCAGTGATGATGAGTTTATCATCAAGACTGTCCAACACAAAGAGGCAGAGTTTCTCCAGAAACTGCTGCCTGGATACTTCATGGTGAGTGTGGATAGAGTGGGAGGTGGGAGTTTGTTTAGAATGAGTGACTATTACTGCAACAATTCTCAAGTAAGGGGAGGTTTTTCTTCTAATTTCAGTGTCTAATTTTTTTTTGTCTGTTCCCTCTCCCTTTCAGAATATAAACCAAAACAAGCGCACCCTGCTGCCTAAGTTTTATGGACTGTATTGCGTTCAGGCAGGCGGTAAGAATATCCGTATTGTTGTGATGAACAATCTCCTGCCCAGAATCATCCCCATGCACCTCAAGTATGACCTGAAAGGCTCCACCTATAAGAGACGGGCTTCCCCTAAGGAGAGAGAGAAGGCCGTCCCCACTCACAAAGACCTGGACTTCATCCAGGACATGCCTGATGGCCTGCTGCTGGAAGCAGAAAACTACAATGCTCTGTGCAAGACTATACAGAGGGACTGCCTGGTGAGTTACAGAGATGTGGCGGGTTTGTATAGATTGTTTATTGAAGTACTGAGCACTAAAGTGTATGGAGAATGGCTTGGCAAGCTCAAATAGTACACCACCACTTTATATTGTTGTTATCCTCTTGCATAAAAGATACAAAAAAAATGAAATTTCTCTACATACAGCATAAATGTGAAGAAATATCAAAGACTTTTTAGATTCATTTAGTTATTTTAGGCTATTTTTCCATATAATGAAAAGTCCTTACATTGTAAATGGCCTGCAGATGGCTTGACAGATTGTACAACACATGTAATGTCGACATGTAGCGCACTGGCACTTCATTAAACTTTACATTTTACAGAGACTACTATAATTTCCAATTTCTCCAAAGTCGATTAGTGGTTGTTGATAGTTGGCATTGGTTGTTGTTTGCTGTCATGCTCCAGGGTCATCAACAGATGTGTGTAGTGTCGGAAAGATGACTCAAGCTTGCATGACACTGCAAACTAATACCTTATTTACTTTGAGGGATGGTATCTTTTGAAATGATGGGGGTAGACTGGTGCCAATCTGCACAGACTACCAGAATGTTCTGTATCATTTTTCCTTTTAATCAGCAGCTGCACATGCTTTATTGATTCGATCCATTTCCATTACCTCATTGTTCCAGGGTTTTTAGCCACCAGAGGTTCTGGCTTTCCACCAAAGAAAAATCATTAGGACTGTCATTTGTATTTTTGTTTGTTTGTTTGTTTTTTGCTTTTTTGATTTGGGTGTGTTATTTAGTTAAGTTTAAAATAGATTTTCTGATCAGATGACTTTTTTGTTGTGTCATGTAAATCACAAAACCCAACTCAAGACTTTTAAGGATTCCAAAATAATTTTTAAATATTTTTTTAATGTAAGAAATTACCTCTTGTGGTCCATACTTTGGAAATAACTGTATTAGAGGGTTACCTAGGCAACTGCCGCCTTGAAAAATCTCACTTTGATCCCTGTGTAGATGGGATGTATTTCAACTTTGGGCTCAAACTTTGTTTCCAGGATCAAGATTAAATCAGAATCAGTGGTCACATTACAAATATTTTTGTTCTTAACTGTTGCTGGATTGAACACTTAGACCTGTTTTGTCATATTTTAAAACCTTGCTGCTGTAGCGTAAGGAAACAGCAGCAGGGTTTTTAAATGAGCGTAATATATATGACAGCATGTCACATTTATTATTGTACACTCGTATCATGTTTTATTGTAGTGTTGCCAAAGTCTTTGGCGCCTGTTGTGAAACAGTGTGTCTTTGCATTGATTTACAGTTGGTTGTTCCAGTCGTTGCCAGACGATTCTCATTGCACTTGTTTCTTTGTTGCAGCTCCTGCAGAGTTTCAAGATCATGGATTACAGTCTGTTGATGGGCATCCACAACATGGACCAGGCCAGCAGAGAAAAGGAGCGTAGTAGAGGCAGTTTGGTCGACAATACGGGGTCTGAAGGAGCAGTGACCCCAGATCAGCGCCGACCACAAGCCCAGAAAAGTCTGTATTGCACCGCCATGGAGTCCATCCAGGGGGAGGCTCGAGGGAAGGGAGCTTTGGATTCAGAAGATCAGTGAGTGTGACCATCAGCACACCTGTATCAGCCTGTATTTGCTTGCTGGGGAAATTGTAGCTGTGAAATAATGGTGAATGAAGCAGTTGTTCTTTCTGTGACCTTGCAGCATGGGTGGTATTCCTGCTCGCAATAGCAAAGGAGAGAGGTTGCTGATCTACATCGGCATCATTGATATTCTCCAATCTTACAGGTATGTGTGTCAGAGCAGCAAAATCCACTCTTTATATATGCATTTATGCTAATTCATAAGCAAGATTCACGCCACTTATGTAAGTTGCACTAAATAGTTTCATTATGTGATATTATTTAGGTTTATTAAGAAGTTGGAGCACTCCTGGAAGGCGCTGGTCCATGATGGGGTAAGTCGTACACTATACATCACAATATGTATTAATAGACTTTGATTGTAATTGTAGCTTGCATATTAACTGATTAGCTTGGACTACAAAGAATTATGACTGCTTTTTTTCACTTTTAAGAGTTGGTGAATTAAAACAGATGTGTTGCTTTATAAGGTCTGTCAGGTTTTAATGATCCTTTTCCTGGTACTTAGGACACAGTTTCAGTTCACAGACCTGGCTTCTATGCAGAGCGCTTCCAACAATTCATGTGCAACACAGTGTTCAAGAAAATTCCACGTACGTCTGTCTTTGTAATTTTACTGCATTGAGAGCAGAGGTGTGAAAAGTCCCGATGATTGCACTGATCATTTCCTGTTGTCCTCTTCAGTTAAACCATCACCATCCAAGAAAAGCCGCGGTGGAGGTCAGGCAGGGCTAAGGAGGGCGCCCACTCTTGGAGCACCCACACCGCTCTCCCACGCGACAGGACAGTCATCTGTGGATTCCAGACTAGTTTACCACTCCCATTTTAAAAGCACAGAGTCCGAGGCGGACAGCGGTAAGAGCCAAGAAGATGAGGTCACATTAAGTAGATCTGTGGTTAAGTGGAGTGGTCACTGATGTGGGAACAAGTTCAGGCCCCAAACTTTTGTCAAGCATTAAAAATGAAATTGGTGGGGGAAAAATTGAGATAAAGTTCAGCAGATAGCATCAGCAAACTACACATTGTAGTGACACTCAGTGACATTTGAAACACTAAAATGATGTTTCAAATGTCACTGAAATGTTTGGCGCTTTGTGTCATCTGATGTCACGCACACACACGTGCAAAGTCAGACCTGTTACGGTAGTTGTAGTTAATGTGAGCAGTGAGTGTCCATGTGTCTGTGCAGAATGTGATTTGTTAACTCTGACTGAGCCAATGTACTGTCACAGAGTCCTGCAGAAGCACACAGCTGTCGTGTGCTTACTTTCTACCTACTTTTCACCTGATTACAACTTCCCATCATAGAAGGCAAGAGAAAGGCAGTGCGCAGCATCAGCCTTGGAAAGACTAGTCAACTAGTTGCGCTCATCCCCATACTGTATCTGCAGCAGCTCCTTGCATTCCCCACAGGCTTAATTTTGTTCTAAACTGCACTCAGCTTTGGATAAGCTTGTTAAACTCTCTGTAATTGCCATATTAATATCTTTTTTTTCCTCAGGTGTGCAGTCAGGAAGGCCGGATCTGGTTCCTCGGACTCCTCCGCTGGTAGACAACCCTGCAGACTGCGAGGCCAATCTGTCCACCTCATCACAAGGCAGCACAGGAGTTGTCTCCACCTCTCCTCCCCTGCGGTAAAACCTCTCATCTTCCTTCTCGTGCTCACGCTGTGTTTTTTCATCTCTTCTGGTCTGACTCTGACTTTCCTCTGCAGCTCTGTAGGCGTGGAAGTGCACAAATCGGCAAACACTGACTGTGACCAGGCTGTTTCCCACAGGTACAGAGTACAGCCAATGATAAGTCTGTTTAAAAAAAACAAAATCAATAAATATGGGTTTTTTTTTTTTTAGCTCCTTATGTTAGTCATTGTGTCTCATTGATTGCTTTTTCCGCTTTGCAGTTTGGGAGTAGAAGGGGCTGCAGATAATTCAGGCAACCTGTCTGGAAATGAAGATGTAGTTTCTCTGTCGGACATCGTCCCTGAGACCAACATCTGTTTCGTAAGTGTGTTCATTCGCTAGTGTTTATGCATGGTGTCAGAAATACAAAACAATCTTAATTACATTTTTTCTTTGCAGTAAAAACACTCCCAGCAATGAGAGACTTCTGGAAACGGCGAGGTGGGTAGAAGAAAGGCAAAATGAACTGGAGTCAGTCATCCACCGCAGACCCTCCATCGCTCCTCTGCTGTTTTGTGACCTCTGCAGTTTATACAGTAGCCACCGAATAAAACAGCATGGTTTGTGACCGTGAGGAAAGCAGTGATTTGGACCATGTTGTGCGGTAGGCTCCAGACTTCTCCAGCCATCAGCACTGTCACTGTGTGTACATATTTGTCCACACCTATCCAAAACTGTCCGATACACACTCAGAAAAAGGCGTTCGGCCCTGAATTGAAGATTTCCCTTCATGTCCGTCTGCAGCGATGATATAATAAACAATATAATGAGTTGTATATTGTATTGAAAGAGAAATAACAAAAAAAGAGGTCATCTTCACTATCACCAGTTGATCATGGAAGGCAGTCAAATTATCCCTTGAAGAGCCAGTCATCCTGCCCACTATCCACAGCATGAGGAGATGTGGGTAGGAGTGGGCAGGGACGGTTCAGCAGGAACACACACACAAAAGCACATGAAGGGCATAGCCTACATAGGAGGAATGAATGTTACTGTGCGTTCGTGCACAGTCTAGGTGGGTTCACATTTCCGTGACTCCCACTCCGGCGTACCTGTTATTGCACATCCATCTCCCCTCAGCACTCTAAGCTATCCATGGCTCTCTCACCGCCATCGATAGAAATCCGTCAAATCAACACCTGCTGCTGTCGACTCTGTAGTCGTGTTTGCGTTTTTCTTTACCGATTGTACAGTATTCATTTAAAACAGCAGAGGGATGGGGTTTTAACCTGACCTATATGGTCATTTTTTTCTTATAAGTTATTTTTCTGGAAGCCTCAGTGGTGCCACATAGATCTTCCCACTGCTGAATGTACATTGTAGTGTTTTTCCGCATAAAAAAACGTGTCTTATTTAGGGATGGGTATCGATAAGATTTTCACGATTCAGATTCCATTTTCGATTCTGTTTAACGATTCGATTCTTTATCGATTCTCTTATCAATTCTTTTTTTTAAAAAGGAGAACACTAAGGTTGATTAGCTTAGAACTTTGTTTCTTCTTTTTGAATAAGATAGAAATTTAGGAGTAACATGGCTTTACAAACCCAACAGTGAGATCTTAAGAGATCTACAGCCTACGGCTCTTCAATGGGGTGTCACAGGGTCCCCGGGGAAAAAAATTGTAAATGTAAAATAATAAAATAAATATTCTTCTGTAGCAATAACAAAGTTTAACATAAATTATTCTGTAGCAATTACACAAGAATATCCAGTAATGTCCCTGCCTACAATTAAACACATTCACTAACCGAAAATCGGGGGCATCTGCTGTGGCAAATGAGTGCAAACCTTTTACCACAAACATTCGTCTATCCTGGCCTGAAAGGAGACGCTACCGGTAGACTGCAGCGAGAACTGCCAGCATCTGAGCCAGACTCTGTCTGTCTCTCTCATCATGGTCACCTAAATGCACAGTAATGGCAGGGTTTGTAATAAGGCAGATCGCACTAACATAATATGCACTGTTAGTTGATTATTGACCTGCCGCATTAACGGGAGAGGACGTGCAAACGTTACCGCTGCTGCTGGGTTGAGATTCACGAGTCCGGAGCGGAATTAAAAACACGACATTCATTTAAGGTCATCGCGTGTTTTGTGAGCAAATGCTTTTGCATATTCGTAGTGTTTCCTTCCTTAAATGAAATATCTACTTTTCAAGTATTGCAAGTTGCCCTGTTGTCATCCGTTCTCGTAAAGTATAACCAAACTTTTGAGCGTTTGAGCCGCCATGTTTCCTGCCAGGTAAATGACGCTCCGCAACGTGGTGACGTCATTCGGGGCGACTGGAATTGATAAGGGAATCGTTTGCAAAAATGGCAAACGATTCCAAGGAATTGAAACAGTGGGAACCGGTTCTCAACAAGAACCGGTTTTTCGATACCCATCCCTAGTCTTGTTACCATGGCAGATCACATTTATACTAACCTGAACATCTCCCCTCTCTGTTTATGGCCGTATGTGCTGAAGTATAAGTGTAACAGCATTGCTAACCAGTAGATGCTGTTGAATTTTTAATTTAAAGTTGCCGTGCATCATGTCTGTGCCTTTCCGTGTTTGTCCCCTTCCCTTACATGCGATGAAAACTGACACTTTTTACAGGTGAGTGCACTGGTTACACAGAAACCTGCCTTATCACTACAGCTGAAGTCCTCAAACTGCCATTTATACGTCTCGACCAACCAGTGAGTCAGTTTTCAGACTTTCAGTTTTAAAATCTATTACGATCTCCCTTTTTTTTTATTACGTCAGGTATTCGGTCACTGCGGTTTTTCATCTCAGCCAATCACATCGCTCCCTGTCACAGCATACATTGAAGGATATACCGGCCTCCTCATTTCTGCTGGTTACAGAAATGACACTCGCTCACATCCACTCAGACCAATATTATTAACGATAAGTAATTTTTGTATCGTGTTTTTATGAAGTCTTGCTCAGCTTCAATGTGGCTGTGTTTATTCTACCTAAGTGATTTTTTTTTTCTAACCCCAAGAGATATTTCTGATAGAGAAATCACTACAAAGTGACTGAAGGAAAACTTGAGACATCTCATTTAAAGAATCGTTATTTATGTTTGTTGAGCACATGTGGTCTATGCAGCAGAGAGGCTTGGGAAGAAATATGAGCTGTGACTAGAGAAAGAAGGAAAATTACTCATGTTCATCAATGCACAGCTGACGATTTAAGTCTTTTTGTATTATAAGCAAGTCACCAAAGAGAAGAGCAGAGTAGACTGAAGATTTAGTGCAGTTAACGTGAGGCTGAGGGCGAGGGCTTTAGATTACTGCATGGACTGATGGTTTCTGTATGGTAATAACACTGGGCTGACCTGTGTTTAAGGATTTATTATTAAACTGGATGTATTTTGTTTTTCCTGACGTTGAAAGTTTTATCTGACGTAAAATCCAGAGCCTGATAACATTTCTTTGTCAATTATTTCTTCATTTCAAGATTTATCTCCACATTCCTGTGAAATTCATTCATTTGTGGTAGCGTTTAGAACCTTTTAGTTGTACTTGAAATGAAATAGTTCTGGTAGTTTGCTGAAATGTAAACTAATCACAGTTATAATACAAAAATGAAATGCCACAGCCAACAGAGTAAACACTCTGACAGTGTCTTCAGATCAGAACGAGTCCGGGTTTGATTTTGCGAGAGCTGCATTTTGATGTTTTTATGTGATGAATTGGTTGCACTGGTTAATTGCTGGCTGCACACCTGTTTTGCTGGAGTAATGTACTACACCGTGACAAAAGGAAAAACCTCCTTTGGTGCTTCTAAGGCAGTACACTCAGTAGTAGACACTACAATGAATTTGAAGTAATGCAATATGAACCACAATCTGCCACTTTTCAGCTCTAAGAAGCATATTTATTGATACGACTGATTGCTGTAGGTTGAAGTGATGTGTTATGTACCTTTTTAGATGATTGTAAGTAAAGTGTATACTGACAGAAGGATGTCTGAAACTTTATAGCATGTGTTGCCTATAAAGGGAGACTGTTTGACAATTTCACTTTTTATATTACATGTTTGGATTGTGATACGATAGATATATTCTCTCCATGATGATTTTCTCCATGCTTTTTTCTACATGAATGTGTTATACGGCTCTTGAGCCACCGTTGCTGGTTGTCCTATATGCTTCGATTACTATATTTTTACTGTGTACAAAATGTGTATATGTACATATGAGTCACGGAAATGCCTTCTCATGCAATATGTGCTGCCTGTCCCTCCGGCCATGTTTCAGTTATGTGGTGGTGGTGGTGATGTTTTCATGTCTGATTTTAAATGAATAAACACATTTTGTAAGTCTTCATTTTGGTTGGTTGTTGTTGTTTTTAAATCTGAGCATCGCAGTGAATGCTGCAGTTACTAAAATTGATTTCTTGTTTTGCACCCTATTATATCACTTCCTGCATGAAAATATGCACTTTGGTTTCATACTGAGCTGGAAAGGATTAACTTTACTTTTTCCACTTTTTGCCATGTTACAGTTTATCCCAAAATGGTTTGTGAAGGAAAGATTTAATCTGTTTTTGGGAATTCATATGACTGAAAGTCTTACTGGTGTCACACTGCCCACTGGTGGGGTGTGAGATGCTCCTTGAGTGGATCCTGATGGTAGGTGAATCTCATTAAAATTAGCTTGCCATCCATCCTCAGGTGAAATAATCTGCTGTCAGAGCTCCAGGTGATGCTTACAGAGTAACGAGTGTTTGGAGGTAATGACAGCAACAGGAACTGGCTTTATCTTTCCAGTTTAAGCCAGTCGACATCATCCAGGTGCAATGTTAAAGACCAAAAGTTCATTTATTGTTTTGTTCCAAATTGGGCCAAGAGTACATTGTTCCTGGTAATATCAGTGAGGGATCTAAACAGATGTTCCAGATGCTAGGAACTGGGACAAACTGTTCTTGAAACACTGAAATGAACAAACTTTGTTTGCACTGTCTGATCAGTTACCGCAGACAGGAACTCAGAGAATTGCAGCTGTTTTTAGATGTAAGGACTTTCACATGACCTGTGTTGGTCTTTTCAAATTCAAATTCAAATTTTTTAGGAAGACCAAAACTTTCCCTTAGAGATCTGCACAAGTGGAAGATGAAATAAGTCACAAGTGTGTGTGTGTGTAGCATGTTGCAGACATTAAGAGTACAGTTATTTTCACTTAAAGGTTGAACCGTTTAGTATCAGTGAAGATAGTGAGTTCTTTTGATAACATTTCATGGTCATTCAGTCACTGTCAGGTGAATAATGTCAAGGTTTCGAGCTTCTAAGTTTTTTACAGAGAAATGCATATCTCATACCTTCCATCCCAGTTGTGAAATCCTCTGCCTCTGGATGATTTGGCCCCCACTTTAGGATGTTTAACCCACTTTTATTTGCAAGGCCAACATCGGTTGACCTGCTTTCTTTCCACTGGAATGTGGATGGTTTCTTTTTCTTTTTTTAAACTGAAAATATGAACTAATGGGGGCTTTGATGTGTGAGTGTGTGTGTGATTTTTTTCCTATTACATATTAAGTGCGATTAAGAAAACCACAGCAAGCTGTTGCAGCATGTACATTGAA